GACTCGAAGGCACTTAACAACAACAACAACAAAGTTTATAAATTGGCCACATCAACATATTTTTATGATCATTAAGGTTGTTCATAAACTTAAACCAGCAGTCATGAGGGGTACAAGCTAAGGCACTAGACCAAATGTCCTAAATTGACTCCAGAGTCAGCACAACAAATTCTGTGGCTTTGGCCCATTCCTTTTTGGGAGACCATTTTCCTGCTATAAAAGGGGCTTACCAGTCAGACCTGCTCACTTTCTTGTCAGAATGAATGCATTCATAGCTGTTCATCACTTGAAAGTGTCAATATTACATCCTTAATGGATGGCATGATAAGATACCAAAAGTGTTTTTTGTTGTGTGTGTGTGTGTGTGTGTTTTAAGTTAGTATGCTGAAATGTCTGATTTCTACCAAAATAAACAAGTAGATAAGCTTCTAGTTACCGCATCATTTGAAATAAGCTCCAGAAAGTTGTTGGAATGGTGTTTGCTTGTGATGCCCAAAGCACCACAAGGTGTGTCTTGGCCTTCTCCATGTCATCGAAAGTGGAGAGCTGGTCATTGAGCACCATGCGCATACTGACCAGGTCGGACACGTGGTCTCGCTTGCGGAGGTTCTCATGCTTGAAGTCCTCGGCCAACTTCTCCCGGGCGTGGTGTGCAGCCTTGAATACATGAATGGGCAAGCCTGCTACCAGGGCAGGAAAAATCTTGTCAAACTGCTTGAAGTTGTCAAGGTTACTTAGCATAAGTGCTCTTTGTGAGTCCTCCCTTGTGAGATCTTTGCCAAAGAGAGTTAAATACCCAGCTTCAAACATCACTCGGTAGCAGAAGGAATACATGCCTTCTGTCATCCACGCAGCTGTCTTGGATTTGGATAGGATGGGAGGTCTCATAACAAGCTGGAGGTTTTCCATCATGGTTTTGTCGAGGGCATTCAAGGCATCCCCCTGCAGGGTTTTGATGAAAGTCTGGTTGATGTTCTCAGCTGTATGTCCATCACTTGGGTCAATACTTCTATGTCCAAATACCTATAGCAAATAGAGCATGAGTGAAAAAAGAAATCAGATGCAATACTAGTAAATGGCTGAAAACACATATTACACATTTTTATAATTTTCTACTTGTTGTTGTTGTTGTTGTTAAGTGCCTTCGAGTCGGTTCCGACCCATAGCGACCCTGTACAGGGTTTCCGAGGGTGTAAATCCTTATGGGAGTAGAAAGCCTCATCTTTCCCCCGGAGCAGCTTGTTAGGTAAAGGTAAATTGATCTTCCCATGTACTATTTCACAGTAGTTTACAAGAAAATGGCCAAATCATACCCTTCCTTCAAGGCCTAGTTTAAGTCCCAGCTCTTTAGGGAATCTTCTCTGGACAACCATGATCTTCTATTTCTTATTTATTCTGCCCTAATCTGAAACTCCTATACAGGGTCTCTGTGAGTCAGAACCAACTCGATGGCACTTAACAACAACAACAACAATCTGATACTAATTCACAATGTTGGGGTTTGGTTTGTTTTACCATTAGTTCTCCTGTGTATTCTTTGTAGCTGTATTCTGACCAGACTTTAAGCTTCTCTGTGGCAGAGATCATGTCTAATATTTCTTTGTGGAAACTTAGTAAATATTGGTTAACTGTTTTCTCCATAGCAGTCTCTTCAGTTACATCTACATTATGCCAAAATAACTCATCAATTATTTGACAGAATTAAACTATTTTGTGGCATGAGCATGGCAGAACAACTATTAAGTGCCTAAGCTGTGTACTGCACCACTGCGGGGTTGTGTAGACATGGCTGCTGTAAGTGAGATGGTACCTATTTTACTCATGGAGCATCATCTGGATCCATAAGATGTCTCATTTTTAATTTTACCATCATTTTTGTTGTTGTTATGTGCCGTTGAGTCAATTCCAACTCATAGTGAGCCTGTATAGGGTTTCTGAGGAGTAGCTGGTGGGTTTGAACTGACAACCTTGTGGTTCACAGTCCAGTGCTTACCCTATAGCACCACACCAGGAGTCCTTACCCTCATTGCTATTATTGTTAACTGTTGTCAAGTTGGTTCTGACCCATAATGACCCATATAAAGTTGCCAAGGAGTGGCTGGTGGGTTTGAACTGCTGGCCTTGCAGTTCAAACTGACCTGTGGTACAGCATATCATCCCACACCAGAATTCGTCATTAGCTAGTAAAAATATAGTAAATCTGTTAAAAGTCTATTTTGATTTATTTAATGATTAGGACCAAGTGGTGATGTCTAGTCAGATTTATTGTATTTCTCCAAATCTCCAAATGAAGGTCACTTTCTTTAACCTCTCTATTCTTAAATCTAAATATATCAAAATGACTAAACAGACTCATATATGAAAAAAAGATAGGAAACAAACAGAATGCTGTATATATGCAACACTGATTACCTTGGAAGACGTAGTGAAATGAAATTTTGTCCAATCAAAGTATTTTCCATGGCACAACACTTTATGGAAGGACAAAGGATTTGTGATGAAATGAACATATTTTCCCATTAGTTTACAGGTAAAAACATGACCATGTTTCCTCTGATTTTTTCTGAGGAACTCAAGAGGATTGGCACCAAATTGTAGAGCACAGCCTACGTATGGAATCAATCCATTCTCCAGAGGTGGTTCACCTATTTGTCTATAAAACACAAATATATGATAGATATGGAAAATTATAATTTGTTTTTTAAATTAACTCTATATTTTATCTGTGCTTCTTTTGTAGATAATACTTGCCTAAGTAAAATTAGAAACTATTATACCTGAAATAAAATATATGAAAAGACAAAAAAGTTTGTAAATGGCAGGCAACATATAGCAATCTACATAGCTGAAGATGTACTCTTTCCAAGATTCATATAACAGAAGATATCCACCCCTGCCTCCCAAAATATACTATTTGCGTCAATCCAAAATGATGGCTCTCTTTGTATTTATTGTATTCTTGAACCAATGATAAATAAATGACAGTATTACTAAAAGTGATGTCACATACATCTAGAAAAATCTTTCAATTTATCAAGATTGATTAACATTAATAAGAAAAAGAGTAACAGAGTAATCAGCATAGGATGTATAGTTGGTCCAGACTTGGACCGAGTGTATATAAAGTACTACAAAAGCTAGGTGGGAAGCAAATATCTAGTAAGTCAGAGCAGCTACTTTTCCCACGTGCCAGAATGAAATCATTTCCACTGCAGATCTCCACTTGCCATTTGTACCCATTTGTACTAATTCAGACTTCTTATACATGCACATAAGCAGCTCTTACAAGATTTCTGTCATAGTTACATTTCTACATTACCACTTCTGTGTACAGATACTAGAAGGGAAATACTGTGATTATATGAAAATGCCTAATACAGAAAACAAATGTTATTATATAATGATAAAAGTAAAATAACATTAAATGAATGAACTAAAAGACACTTTAAAGATAAAACTTTCCTTACCGTCTCCTTATTCCCAGAATAAGCCATAAGCAACAGCATACAGCTACAACAACTCCCCAGATCAAAGATATTGTCATCATTTTGAATATCTAGTGCAAAATTCCTGGGGAGAAGAATCTTAGATTAGAAAGACAAGAATGTTGCTGAGCAGACACTCTAGCTAGAGTTTTTATATAGAACTCTGATCCATTAACTTGAACTTGAGTGACCAAAGCAAACAATTAACCATTTGTTCATGCTATTAGGGGAAGAAAAGAAAAAAAAAGTAGTATAAACTGGCCTTGAACTAAGTCCACAGGTATTAGAAGAGGTTCCAAAACAATCAAAGACCTGCAATACTTGATAAATTGAAGGTCTCTCAAACATGTGCTCATTTAACATTCGAACCTGGGGACAGCAACTAATATTACAAGTTTAGTAATTCTATTAAAACAAATATATTTGTCTAAGATGCATAGATCCAACAAAGAGGTAAAAGTAATATTCTAAAAATAAGCCTAAATTATTGAGCATGGTAATATGATCTTGTTACCCTTTGGAGAAGAAATCAATTTAAATGTTTCACCAGAGAGAGAAGGTGTTCAAGTTCAAAGGAAAGAAAACTGGGTGAAATGTTTCTGCGGCTTCATATTTCAATGCTTTTACAAAATCATAAGTATTGTACTATATATAGAAACAGATTGCTTTTCTAATGCCTTCAAGGAGAAAGGATTCAATGTAAACATGTCTTCCCAGTTAACAAAGCTTATTTTTAATCATTTTTCCATTTGTAAATATATTTATTAGTTTTTTAAAACTATTTAATCAATAATAGTTTAAGACTAGTTGAAACATATATTAGTAGATAGTGGAAGTCAAGTTACAATTTCATGTCTCCTAGGATAAGCACTGGAGTCCTGGTGTGGTGCTGTGGGTTAATGCGCTGGACTGCAAAGTTGTTTGAACTGCAAGGTCAGTCAGTGGTTCAAGCTCACCAGCTGCTCCTCAGAAACCCGAAACAGGGTCACTAAGGGTCAGAACTGACTCAATGGCACTTAACAACAACAACAACAGGATAAGCACTAGACTTTGAGCCACCAACCTCTCCGCAGGAGAAAGATGAGGCTTTCAGCTCCTGGAAAAAATTACCAGCCTCAGAAATCCTGCACAGAGTTGCTATGAGTTGGAACCAATTCCATGGCACTTAACAACTCTCCACCACTCAAAGAGATCTGATAGCTCATTGGTTAAGAGTTCAGCTCATGGAAAAAGTCAGCAGTTCAATTCCACCAGCTACCCCTTAGGAGAAAGATATGGCAATTTGCTTTTCTAAATACTACAAGTTGAAAACCCTATGGAGAAATTCTACTCTGTTCTGCAGCGTCACTATGAGTCTGACTTAATTTTAATGGCAAGGGGGAATGGAACTCCCCATTCTGGCATACTTGGGTGGTTCAAAAGGTTAAGCACTCAACTACTAGCTGAAAGATTGGCAATCTGAACCCACCCAGAAGCACCTTGAAAAACAGGCCCATTGATTTCCTTCCAAAAGGTCACAGCCTTGAAAATCCTATGGAACAGTTGTACTCTACCACATGAGGTCACCATGAGTAAGAATTGCATTGATTGCAGCTATCAACGATTTCCCACTCAGAAATATTCACTGTTATTTTTTGGTATATATCTTTTCAAACTCTTTTTCTATGGATGCATAAATATTGAGTGTCTCTACTATACCAGGAAGTCTTCTAAGATGTTCTAATTACAGACATTAACAAGATATACAGGTTCCCTACTCCAATGGAGACTCTATTCCAGTTGTTGTTAGGTACCATTGAGTCAATACCAACTCATAGCGATCCTATGTACAACAGAATGAAATACTGCCTGGTCCTGGGCCAACCTCACAATTGTTGCCATACTTGAGCCCATTGATGCTGCCACTTTGCCTATCCATCTCACTGGGGATCTTCCTCTTCTTGTCTGACCCTCCACCTTACCAAACATGATATCCTTCTCCATTGACTGGTTCCTTCTGACAATATGTCTGAAGTATGAGAGATGAAGTCTGGCCATCCTGGCCTCCAAGGAGCACTCTGGCTGCACTTCTTCCAACACAGATTTGTTGGTTCTTTTGGCAGCCCATGGTACTTTCAATATTCTCCTTCAATGTCATAATTCAAATGCATCAATTCTTCTCCGGTCTTCCTTATTCAGTGTCCAGCTTTCGCATGCATAAGAGGTTATTGAAAATACCATGGCTTGAGTCAGGTGCACCTTAGTCCTCAAGCTGACATCTTTGCTCTACAACACTTTAAAAGGGTCTTATGCAGCAGATTTGCCTAATGCAATATGTGGTTTGATTTCTTGACTGATGCTTTCATGAGTGTTGATAGTTGATTCAAGAAGAATGAAGTCCTTGATAATTTCAACACAGAGTCACTGTACCAAAAGGAAATGATTGATGTTCTACCATCAAGAGGTAGCATATGATCAAGAGCCAATGATACTGAAAGAAGACATCCAAGGTGCGTTGAAGGAATTGGCAAAACAAGGCACCTGGAATTGATGAAATACAAATTGAAATCTTTCAAGAAAGTGAGGTGGCACTGGAGGCACTCACTCATCTATGCCAAAAAATTTGGAAGACAACTATCTGGCCAACTGATTGTGAGAGATCCATTCCAAAGAGAGGTGACCCAACGGAATGAGGAAATCATTGGACAATATCTTTGTTATCCCATGTGAGTAGAGTGTTACCGTTCCAGTGGAGAGACATAACAAACAACTAAATAAACACTTTGACCAATGTGTTAAGAGTAAAATAAAACAGGGTGTTAGAAAACTATGGATGGATGTTGGGTAACTATATGTAACTATTTATGGGGTATATATACATGGTGTAATTTTATATAATTATATATGTTGACCAGGGAGGTCCTCTTTGAGGTGACATTTGAGATGTACATGGCAGGAAGGGATTAGTCACGAGGAAATCAAACTAAAGAGCTTTATAGGAAGTGAAACAGGACATCTATTGAATCAAAGGTGGACTTGGCATGTCTGAGAGCCAGAAAGAAAGTATGATAAATTGAAACAGGTTGAATGAGGGGAAAATTCCTTAAGATACAAGGACAAAGATATAAATAGAAGCCTAATGATATAGTGGATTGTAACTGTGTTAAAGGCTAGAATTTTTATTTTAAGTTCAAAACAGTAAAAGTTTTAAGCAAGGACATGACAAAGTTTGACTTACAATTTTAAAAAAGAAACATTTTAAAAGGTCACTTTGGTTCTATGTGGAGAATGGAATATAGAGGTATGGGGAAGAGTGAAAACAGGAAAATCAATTGGGAGACCAGACCACCCAGTAGTTTAGGCCAGAGATGATACTACTCTGGACCAACGGAGAAGAAGAAATGTGACGGATGTGTATTATGTGCTAAAAATACCTCATTCTAATCTTTATGGGAGCAGAAAGCCTAATCTTTCTCCCATGAAACGACTGGTAGTTTTGAACTGCTGACCTTGAGGTCATAACCACTACACTACCAGAGCTCCTTAAAAATCACATTTATAGGGACTTTAGATCCAGAGAGGGAGAGCGACTGTGTGCTGAAGACTGGGGGTGGGGTGGGGTGGAAGACAGGTTTGCAGGGTGCATTTTGGTTGGCTGATGATGCATGGAGGGGATTGTAACCATGGCAATGAAACAATATACAATAGAATGAATTCAAAACTAATGTTCTCCCATGTAAACTATCATATAATTCACATTAAAAATTTTTAAAAAATCACATTTAGCAGGAAAAATATAAAGATTAAAGCCTCTGATTCTCCTCAGTCCACAAGAAGAAACTAGGTGTATGTGTTTTCGACTCTTGTTGTGTAGAAGAAGGACAATAGGTGACAGAGAGAACTATTAGGGGAAGGAAAGTAGAGAAAAATGTTAACCTGATGATACTTTGGATGAGTCTGTGAAGATCAGAGCAGTTGTGAGGAGCAGAAGACTTATGAAGCTTTGTTGTGGATTGTGAATGAATTTCCCCTCTGCCATTTCAAAACTTTTTATTTTAAACAATTACAGATTCATAAAGATAGTACAGAGAGGTCCAATGTACTATTTCCTTTATTGTTTACGTTTGTTTGCTTTTGTCTTTTAATCTAAAGGATTCAGTTGTTGTTCAATCATGTTTGGGTATTAGATTGTTGCTTCCTCTGTGACAAGTGCTGTAAAGATTTAGCTTTCTAATTATTATATTTTTAAAATATATATTAACTTATAAACAGCATATCAGGTGCAATATATTTTGTACATAAAGTCTTATAAAAATATATACTTAGAAAATATACTGTATTTACTGCCATACAATAATTGATGTAATATTTATGGTCAGATGTTCATGCAAAAACAAATGAAAAGATTTGTGATCTCTGTTTAAGGAGGCAAAAATTATTAAATAAATCTATGAATTTATAGCTCTAAATGTTGTTAAGTGCCACTGAGTCAGTTCTGACTATAGTGACCATGCATAGGGTTTCCGAGGAGCGACTGGTGGGTTTGAACTGCCAATCTTGAGATTCAAACCGACTGTGTGGTCCATTGCTTTATCCTACAGTGTCACACCAGGACTCCATAACTCTAAGTAGATACATCCAAAACGTCCATCAACAGGGATTCAGTTAAATAAATTATGGTACTAATCATGCATTGGACTCCTGATAAGGTGCTGTAGGATCAGCACTGGACTGTGAACGACAAGGTCAACATTTTAAACGCTATACAAGGTGGCTATGAGTCGGAACTGACTTGACAACACGTAACAACAACAATACACTACCAGACCTTCCATTAGAGAAAGTTGAGGTTTTTTGCTCCCATAAATATTTACAGCCTTGGAAACCCAAAGCAGGGTCACTATGAGTCATAACTGACTCCATGGCACACCACCAGCAACAAATGTGATTTTTATCTTTTGTGCTCCTGGAATTGATAAAATACCAACTGAGATATTTCAACAAATGGGTACAATGCTGGAAGTGCTCACTAGTCTATGCCAAAAAGATTTGGAAGATCACTACTTGACCAACCAACTGGAAA